CCAGCGTATGTCGCTTGGCAAAGTACGTTGGGCGATTGTAACGCTGCATTTGACGTGGCGTTTCTGGGTCGAGGCAGGGGCTAGGTCTGAGATAGGGAAATATTTTTATTCAAATCGATATTGAATGACGACCTGGTGAGGGAGTCGTTTGTTGGCATCAGGTCGGGCGACATTACGCATGGCGTCCTGTGTGCCGCGGCCGGTAATTTTTACGGACGCCACAGGTGGCCTCCGCAACCAAGCGCGTACGCCCGTCGTGATGCTGGGATGTGTGGTCAGAGATACGATCGCGGCAATGCACGTGTCGAGCCACGCCGGTTTGATGCCATGGAGGCGTAGTTCGCTGGGGAGAGGGGGTGGTGGAGTCGCCCAAGCGGGCGAGATTCCGATCGTGATGCACACATGACGTCCATCGCGGACGCCTTGCATGAGGAAGGCGTCGCTGCTCATGGTCGGTCCGAACGCGTGTGTGTGATTGGTACGTGCGCATCTTTCGTTGGACGGTGTACAGCAGACAACTCGACGGCAGTATGTCCTGTCGCGTGTGCAAGAGTGGATGGGAGCCGAACATCTCTCGGTCGACTGTAACGTTGCAGCCAACCCTGACCGTTCGCTGTCCACGTCGTCGGGTTTGCGCGATGGATGCCACTCGCGCCGTTGTCTCCCCGTAGCGGCATCCTGCCCAACGTTGCCAACGACAGTTCCGGCGCCTGTACACAGGACGAGCGACGACGCGAGGGCACACATCCATGGCCTACTCGACAAGCCGAGAAGTTTGCGCTCGGCATTGGACCCATTCGAACGTACTACGCGTCCATGCTTGTGACACCGACGGCGGCGGCAATGTATTTGGCGCCGCGGAGATCGACACAAGTTGTTTTCCGTTGACTCAATACGACTACATATCGACACACGTCTACACCGACGTTGCCAGTGCCAGGGCCGTGGGTCGATCGGTGGGATTCGGCTGAATACACTGCAGCACAAGCGCTTGGATGTCGGCGGGGCATTGGGCCGTGAACTCTGGTGCGATCGCATGGGTTCGGATTTTCGTCAAGAGGATGCAGTCGGTGGCCCTGCCTTGCTGGAGAACGTACGGCGCTTCGTGCGTGTCGAGCTCCCAAATGACCATCCCGAGCGAGTACATGTCGGCCGCCTCGGTGTACCGCTTGCCTTGCAAGATCTACAACGCAGCCACCCACGTCAATCATCTGGCACGCATGCGGCCAAGCGGGAGGGCCGTGCGTCGTCGTACCTCTGGCGCGGTCCACCGAAAGCTGCCAACGCCTTGGGTCATGGTTTCAATCGACAGGTTGCGGCTCACGCCAAAATCGGTCAGTTTCGCGACAAGGTTCTTCCCGAGCAGGACGTTGCGGGACTTGAAGTCGCGATGGATAATCTCCATCGAGTGCAAATACAGCAGCCCCTGTGCCATGCTGTGAATGCAGCTGCGCTTCAGGTCCCACGTGAACACGGTTGGCGGCGTGTTTTTCAAAAAGTTGCGCAGGTCGCCATGCTCCATGTACTCGGTCACGAGCTCGACGTCCTTGGGGCAGATCCAGCAGCACCCAATCATGGACACGACGAATGGACTGTCCAGCCTACACACATGGACCCACGTCACGACGGCACATCCACCGCCTCCGTGAGGCCGTCGCTCGTGAGCCAAGCTCGGCGTGCGCAAACGCAGCGGCCTCACACCGACGCACTCGACAAGAGCATGACGTACTTGGTCATGAGTTTGATCTCGTCGATAAAGGCCTGGGCGACGTCAGCGTCCAAGGATTTATCGGCATGGAGCCGCTTGATTGCGACCGGGATTCTGTTGTACATGCCCATCGAGACCACGCCGGTCGCGCCGACCGAGAGTGTTCTGCCCTTGGTCAGTTTTTCGTGATCGAGGCGCCACAACGTCAATTCTCCCATGTTGAGCTGGTTGCCGATGGTCAGTCGTTGCTGGGTACTCACAGTCGACCGCAGCGGGCTCTGCGCCGGAGGCCCGAGCTTGACTTTGTTCTCGTTGAGGTAGCCCAGCATGGGGATGCGGCCCTTCTCCGTTACGTACAGAGGCGCATCCGTCAGCATCAAGACGGAATCGGTCGACTCGCGCGGGTCGCTGCGTCGGCGGCGCCACAACACGTAGCCCACGACACTGGCCACCGCCATGGCGGCACACAGCAGCCCGAGCAGGATCGAGTTCAACGGTGTCGGCTGGGACAGCGCCCCCGCAGCTACTTTCAAGACACAGTTTAGCCATCCCTGCCCACGACGGCATGCACCATTTTCGTTGCTAGAGTTGTCGAGCAACTCTGAAATAGACAAAAAAGAGATCACAACAAAACTCAACGACCCAATCGCTCGATCGCAGGCGCCACGGGGACGGCAGCGCGCGCGAGAGGAAGCAACGTACCCTTGCCGTTGACGGTGGTCGAGTTGATCGGCGATGGAGTCGGCTCTGCGCGATGGATTTTTCCGACATGAGAGAACGAAGAACGACGGCGACAAGCACTCGTACCTCCAGGCCCTTGGCGGCTGATGGACTTGACGCGGACGTTGGTGCAGCCAGGCGGAATGTCGACGCACAACACGTACGATTGCATCCATTCGAGACACGCACTCGAGGTCGGGAGCGAGTGGCAGTCGGAAGAGTTGTTGAACGTGAGGCACTCGAGCCGTCCAGAGGCGTCAATGCGAACGGGGACGAAAACGGACGACTGATTCACGCACGACCAATCGTGCGATGCTTTGGCGCTGGGCGGGTCCAAGACTGTCACGAACGGCACGGTCGGCACGGGAGTGTTGTCGCTTGGTGCGGTCGACGATGGGATCGTGGACGCGGGCTCGGCGGTCGATGGCGTCGTTGTCTTGGGGACGTCCGATGATGGAGACGACGTTAGTGGTGGCGGAGGGGGTGTAGACGTTACTGGTGGTGAAGGCGAGTTGGACGGACTGTTGGTTGGCGGGGACGGCGGCGATGGTGTGACCGGAGTCGGGATTGGAGGCATTGTCGTTGTTCGTGGCGGCGGCCGCGTCGTCGGCGACGGTGACGGTCGCATCAACTGCCTCTGTACACTGAGAAGGAACGAGTCGTAGGGCGGGCTGAACACGCCGCGATCAATGAATCCTATCGCCTTGTACGCGTCGCAGTTGGCCGCGGTGTCGAACCACTGACAATAGTCTTCCCAATACCATGGAAACGCTGGCTCGACGAAGCGGCAGCCGACGTGGCCCGACGCCTCCACGAAGAACGCGCCAACGCCGTGAGGCTCATGGTCTATACACGTCAGGTCGCTCATCTCGCGTCGGACTCTGCGGCGAACAAATCGCGTCGTCGGCGTGAGAGCCAGCCGACCAGTTGGCAGGTCGTCGCACTCGCATGACGCATGCCGTTGAAAGGACAACAGAAGCCAATCCGAATGCTCGAAAATGGATTGAAATTCTTTGATTGGCTAAAATGCATTCTGTGCAACCGTGCGACCTTCGCAACCCATTTGGACGAGAAGAAGCAAGTGGCACGCATTGTGCAAATTGTCGCGTGTAATGACAGCGTTCGCGCGGAGCTGCACGCGCTGCCGTCCTGGTCCGAATGGTCCCGTCTTTCCGAGGAACGAGGCCAACACCGCACCGCCATGTTTTGTTCATATCTACACACATCGTGTGCCTCGAGGGGGGGGGCGATCGCAAGTCGTGAATGTAAACGTGGTCGAACCAACAAATGGAGACGTGGCAGTCGCCAACAACGCTCGAGACGCCATCGCGACCCTTCATGTCCACACACTGCTCAACCAGCACGACATGGGATTTTCGAGACAC